TTCCCATCGTTCTCAGCCAACAGAGTCTCTAGGATGATAGAAGAAATGGGCCACCATGCCTGATCTTTTGTTATCTTACACTTCGTGCTAGAAGCAATGAATGGAGAGACACTACTTTCACCACTGGTTGAGATGTTTCAGTGTTGTGAAGACAGGAAAATAATCAAAGAAGTGGATGCCAGTGATAGTGGTAATATATGGTGAGTGATTTTGTTGTCATTTGTTGTTGTTGTTGTTGTTCTTGGCAATGTAGGGTAGGGCCAGCAAACCAAGGGCCTTTCAGTTTGCTGGGCCAATGCTCTACCATTTAGCTGCACCCCCAGCCTTTTTGACATGTGTTCTTTCACCATCAAAAAGTTCAGGAGGGGGACTGGGTTGTGGCTCAGTAGTAGAACATTGGCCTTGCATGTGTGAGGCACTGGATTTGATTTTCAGTATCACATTAAAAAATAAATAAAAGAAATTTATTGTGTCCACCTACAACTATAAAAAAGTTAAGGAGGAATCAGGTTGTAGCTCAGTGGTAGAGATCTTGACTAGCATGTGTGACACACTGGGTTTGATCCTCAGTACCACATAAAAATAAAAATATAAAATAAAGATATAAAGAATATAACATTAAATTTGTTTAAAAAAACTTAAGGAAATGAAGACAATTGGTGTGGAAGGGAGGAAAGCCATAAACTGAAATGCTTTCTGCAGCTCACAAAGTCATAGGGCATGGGCTGGGGTTTGGGCCCAGAGGTAGAGTTCGAGTCTAGTTTGTGTGAGGCATTGGGTTTGATCCTCAGCACCACACAAAGTAAAATAGACATTGTGTTCATCTTTATTTGGTATTCCCAGAAATTCACACGAGCGAACTTAAATTCAGCTGCCTATACAGGTTTGGGGGCAACAGAAGTGCTCTGCTACTGAGCATATCCCTAGACCCGTGGACTGTGTTTTGGAAAAATATTTATATTTTAGTTATAATTGGACAAAAAGCCTTTATTTTATTTATGTACTTTTATATGATGCTGAGGATCAAACCCAGGGCCTCGCACATGATAGGCAAGCATTCTACCACTGAGCCACAACCCCAGCCCAACCCATGGCCCTTTTAAATTTACAGTTGCTCCAGTGATTGCAGCTTCAGAAAATCCATAGCCTGTTTGGACATATTTTGAGAAAGCCTGCCCTATGCCTTTTTTAAAATATGTTTATTTTTTAGTTGTAGTTGGACACAATACCTTTATTTTATTTATTTTCATGTGGTTTTGAGGATTGAAATCAGGGCCTCACACATGCTAGGCAAGCACTCTACCCCTCAGCCACAACCCACAGCCACAAGGTGTAATGCATTTAATCCATTTAAAATTTTATGTGGAGTGTCCCTGTGATTATGGTGAAAGCATGGAAGTTTGTTTAATGAATATTTAATATTAACTTTTTTGCCCTGGGACGGCTGGGAAGTACCCATGTGGAGGGGCCTATGGGGCACTCGCTCTCCCTCTTTTCTCATAGAGATGGGTCCAACTCCTCCCTTCCCCAGTGTTGTAGATCTCTGGAAGCAGTGCATGCCAAATTGGTTCTAAGGGCTGCACAAGTCAGGCTGGGACAAAGCCCAGCTGGGTAAGTACTGAGGTTGTGGGTGGTGCTGCCCCCATTCACAATGCCTCCAAAAAATGCCAGCATGCCTTCCAGTCCAGACACCACCAAAGGCTTGCTCTCTTGCCCCCACGGTACCTCCCCCATCACCAAGCAGCTCCCCTTGTCCTATTTTCACCTCTCTGCCACTGAGGTTTATTATAAAATGGACATGTTTTTCCCCTCTCTCCCATGGTGAAGGTAGTGCAGAGAGTACTGGGAGCTCTGGTGGATGAGGGTGGTCTCCTGGGGGTTTGGGGAGTCCGCAGTTGCAGAGGGCTGGGTGGTGACCTTAGACATG